CACTCAACGACAGGGTTCTTCACACTGTGGTATTTGTTGAGATTTGATGAAAACTTCCATTGGCTAATCCATAAATGAGAAAAAAGATTTATTACAAAATCGTAATGATTAGTTTGACTGGACATGCGAGAAGCAATTAGCCTACATATTTAAAAGGCCCACCAGTGGCCAAGTGGTTCCGTTCCCTGAACACTGGGAGTTCGGTCGTGGGTTAACACCTCGCCAGGACGGGCTGGTCACTTGGAGTTTTCCGGGTTTTCTCCACGTCTGTAACGCCTGGATAGGGGCCAGACACCCTTAAAAAGACCTCTCGGAAGGCATCCCCTAGGCAGATCGCCTAAGTGTAGCGTTGCCTTAACTTAACAATAACAGAATAACATATTTAAAAATGTATCATATAAAATGTACATGAACAAATAGCGAGATCACATCTCGAGCAGGACAATGCAAGAAGTGATTAGCGACCAGAGGTCATACAACCTTACTTTCAAGAGGTACTGTACTTATTTATTTTTCTACTGTGTGTTCCATTACAGAGCATTCAGAAATTTTTTAAGTATGTTCATATTTTTTCAGTTAGGTCTCTCACTATATTTTTGGGGAGAAGTGAAATTATTGTTACTGGTAAAGATACAGCAAGTCCTCAATGCCATCGGTAGATTTTTGGAAATCAGGCGTTAAACCGAACGACGTATAACGAAACCAATTTTACCATATTCAGAAATTTTTAACAAACATAAAATAACAAACAATATATAATTCGGTTATTATTATTCTAATTGGATCAGGTATGTAACTTCCAGCATTCATTTTCCATCTCATAGAATTGATTTTACTGTTTATAACGAAAATTCAATAACAATCATAAATGATGAATTTATAATCAGCTCTCACCAAATGGGCTATTTCTACACAATTTGGCGAGTGATATTTATCTGTGGCGATTTGCCCTCTTTTTTTGAAAGATTTTGTGATTTAATAGTAATTTTTTCACCTTATTCAGTTTATCGAAAAGTAATATGTACCGTATAAGATATGACTCATATATATTCAATATACTGTATAATGGAAGAGAAGCGTTAGCCTCTTCTATGTGGCTTACAGAATTGTGTTTAGTTCTCGAAATTTGATTGTTCGATTTTAATTAAACTTTGACTTATTCCAGTAATTTCTATTATATATATATATATATATTATATATGAGAATCCTCCAATAACCGTGCAGATTTTAAAAATGAGAATATCCGGAATTCTCATTTTTACCTCCCAGCTCTGTTAGGGAAAGCATGGCAATAGTAAAAAAAATGATCCCAAAGATTTTCACATTTTTGGACAGGGGATCTTGAAACGTTCGGAAATGCAAAAAAATTCAGGTTTTTTTTTTTATATGTATGGATATTAATGTGTGCGGGGAAGCATAATTTTGTTCACCCTCTTCGAAGCTTAATAATTCCCGTGCCTTTTGTCGAAAATTTCCGAAATATTGCAGGGAGGTTTATGTATTAGAGGGATCGATGCTACCAAATTTTGGTGGTATAAGGTCGAGGAAGTGAGGAGATAAAGAGGATCGTGTGTCGTATCTTCAGTACTGTCGGACTTAACGATTTTACACGTTATTACCGCAGTGTTTACAATTTTCTTTTTTATAAAACAGTCCCTACCCTAAAAATTAAGTTTTTTGCCATTTTATAATAATTAAAAATACACAAATATTTAATAATGAAATATCATAACAGGTGGCGCCACATAGTTTTAAATGTTGCCGAGAAAGTTAAGCAACTCGTTGCTGAAATTTTTAATCAGTATGTAGTAAGAAATAATTGGAAATTACTGCAAATGATTGAAATATCAAACAAATATCTGCAAAAACTGATATTAGCAATTTTACTTAACTCATTATAATACACAATACTGTATACTTTTATCGATTTGCATCGAAGTTTTTCGTGATAAAATCTGCTGATAAAATCGATTTCAAAAATTCCGCACATCACACAGCACTACCGGATCTCTAAGCGTGCCTAGGAGCATTGGGTATCTGGGTATAATAATAATAATAAATTCCAGTTTAATTTAAAACCCTAACTTCATTAACTTTAAAAATTTTTTAAAGACGTTTTGACCCATAAAATTTTAAATAAAATATAACGAATAGTAATTCCGAGAATTTACCTTTTTTCTTGATATCTTTATCTGCTTGATTTTTCATCCAGTAAACATCACAATAACACTTGTTCACCACTCTATCTCTTTTGTTCTTGTTGTTCGACTGGTTTGTTGGATATTAGCTACTTCGGCTCTCTTGTGCCAGGTTGTTACTTGTCATAGCGCCTTATGCGGATTTTTGTATGCAATATGAAAAATTTGGTGAGAAGGTGATCTATGTCACACTCTCTCCTTTAAAACAAGTAGATTGACTCATCGCGCTTCCTACTGGCATCCAAGAGTATCATTCTAACTTCTCAAATTTCTTCAAATTTATTTTAGTTTCACAGATATTATAATAAGACTCTACAGTAATTATGCTTCACCTTTAACATTATTTTTATATACAGAACAGTCACTTTACACACTGTGATCGCGAAGTACCTTCATTAGTGAACAACTGTAACAATACTTATTCCTTCATTTTGATATAAAACGACACTAACTGAAATAATTATTTCTAAAATGAAGTCGAATGGAATTGAAATATACAGATAACAAGTATAGCGAGATTCTACTTGTTTTCATAAAAATTTGATAAATTTGATTAACTATATCTAATGTTCTCATATACAGTATAATAATAGTTAGTTTCAAACATGGCTCCGAAGTTATTATAATTCCTATTTTTTTTTTTTTAATACTTTCCGCCTTTTGGAAATATACTAAGAGAACCTCTTTTAGCAAGCTCATTTAGCAAGCTCTTTTAGCAAGCTGGCCGTCTCAGGGTTCGACCAGGCTCACAATGAGACGGCCGGTGACGAGGGACGGGGACCGACATATAATTCCTATTGTAAGAATTTGACTGTAGCGACTGTAATTTTTACTTAGATCCGGGATCAAATCTAGGTTAGTAACAGATTTCGCAAACCCTCGTTTTTCACCATTCGTCTCAATTGTGGGCCAAACCTATCATGAATAGGATTTTAAACAAAACCGTCTTACTGCCTACAAGGCGGAAAGAGCCAAAAAATATATAATTTTGAAAACAATCTTGAAAACAAAGTACTATAATATTTAATTGTGTGAAATATAATTATTGCAAGATTTTTGTTTTTTAAGATTATGTCAAAGTTGAATTTGATGATATTCAACATCATCAAATATGATATGATAGATGAACTTCTATCATATCTTGCTTGCAGCCGTGAGGAATCAGGGTTTGAATCTGATCCACTCCTTATAACTTATAATGGTTAATACATATTGAGATATCATTCTCAATCACTCACTCACTCTCACTCTTATCTACTCTACAAGGTATTTTCGATGTTCAGAATTAATGAAAACTGAAGAGTCTGCATACAATGGGCAAAATTGTAGCCAATACATAGCGTTAGTATGCTGTTGCCAAGCCTTAAAAAATCAATCTTATTCTTCTACGTATGAACCAATACTGGCATTCTGTAGAAACATGTTATGCATACATTATACCGAACATTTATTATTTTTACTCCTGATAATCATGGTCTTAAGAATAATCATGGTCTAAAAGAGACCATGATTACAGTCGACCCCCTATAACACTGTTGATAATTCCGTTTTATATGAATTCCATGTTGTACGAGTCACTTAGATTCTACAAATACGTGTGCCGGGCTGTGAACGGCTCACGTATTTGTAAAATCTAAGTGACTAGTACAACATGGAATTCATATAAAACGGAATTATCAACAGTGTTATAGGGTGGTTGACTGTACTTTTAAAATTAACATCTATATTCGTATCGTTAAGTATATATGCATATACTTTGCATATCACAATGTAACATATTCCAATAGGTATCATCCAATAACGGATCCATAAATTTTTGAGGGGTGCAGAAAAGAAACTATATGCCTTACAATATTTTTATTACTTAAGCCTTAAGGTAAAAAAATTTGTAAGGCACATTTTTTCTTTTGGACGAGGAAATTGGGATCCGAATTTAATACAGATTCCTTAGATCCCGATTTGATCAAGCCCTGGTTCGATTCATAAAATATCCTTGAATGGTCTGATCCGGGTATATCATATTCAGTCTTTTACCGCCAAATGACTCAGTCTTTTATCTAGTAACCGAATGGATAAAACCACTGAACGTTGGTAGTTGATCCCGGGTTCGCGTCTCACCAATGAGATGGCCACGTGTTTGCCAGGTTTTCTTCACGTATTTGACACCTAAATAGAGGCCAGTTTCCCATTGAAACTTCTTCCTTTGAAAGATCACGCACGTATTTCGTTGCCTTATTCCATCAACCTCAACTATCTTACAGCTAAATTTCCCCATTGTGTGGTATTGACGAACTCCGATGGGCTTAAAGACCGAAAGAGTTAAAAATTTGAGTTTGTTTTTTTCAATTAAATAAACACACAAAATGTAGAACAATACCATTTTATTATAGGTCTCAGGAATAGGAAAATCAGTGTTACATCCGTCCGTTTTATTTTAGAGTGACGTCTCAGCGTCCGAATTTGGCGACAAATATTTAATAGGGTCCCCTGAGTGGACGGCTAGTTATGTTCGAGAAGTATATATATATATATATATGTCGATAATACTGATATTTTTGTATTTTTTTTTTACATATTCCTTGATTTTTAGTCAAAAATTTTCGACACAGTCGTCCATGTTTTCGTGCTGAAAGGCGTTATATTTTTCTTAAATATTTTATTCTTTAATTTTAAAATAAACCAGCCAAAAGGTAATATTTTAATTATATAATTATATTAAAATATTCGCATGTATATATATACATACATACATATATATACNATACACATACACACATATTTATATACATATACACATATGTATTCATAATTAAATTACTTAAAATTCACCTCTAAAACGAAATACTATCTATTGTTAAATAGCACATAGGAATATAATAAGACTTACATAACTCGATGAATAATAATTGTATATTCACACGACACCTGACGACATATATGCGATTAGAAACCGATAGTGTTTGTCTTTGATGTGGCACTGATGGGTTTTTTTGTTTTTATAATAAGTATAATGTGACATAATTCTGAAAATAATTTCGTCTCGTTTTAAAGACATCGAATACGGTTCACATCCAAAAATATCAACAACTATACATAAACATAGAAGGAACTTGGGTTCCCGTAATTAATCACTTTTTGTGTTATTTGGTTATGTTATCCAACTGACATATATATATATTTCGGATATTTTACATCTTCGTGACACAAACAGACTGTTAACACTATAACGGTTTCTCGCAGGCAATGGACGTTGTTGTATGTTCCTCCCATGCAACAACCAAATCAGCTAACTGACTGGCTGGTTTTGTTTGTTTCTTCTCTCCTTTAGTCCTAGATATTATGTATTGCATTTTGTTACTTCGTTCCCTTCTCCAGCTGCTTCTTGGCACGCTCTTCTTGCGCTTCTTTAATCTCCCGCCGGCTGTGGCATCCGTTTTTGGTGGAAAACGTCCGTAAACATAGGTTAACATGCCAAACATAACAAATGCCAAAAGAGATGGAACGAATGCCATCCCTTTCACATTCATTGGATAACCCAAAAATCGAGAATTCATTAGCATGTCTGTTTCTGTATAACTCCTGTTGGTTTTCGGATTTGGTAAAGATCGTACGCTGTAACTCCATAATGTTTCGTTTCCTAACGAAATAATATTAATTATTATTATTATTAACAAGTGTTAATTAAGCATTAAACTTGCAATACAACAGTCAATAAAGCCAAATAGATAAAGAGATATAGTCGACCCTGCAAATAATGGCCATTTTTTCAAGCACGTTTCTTTTTGTGATGCTTACAAAATAACCTCCAAACAACGGCTACTTTTAAATAACGGTCATTTTTATTTTTATTTTCTCGTCAGTAGCTGTTGTTAAGAGGCTTAACTGTATTTGGATTTTTAACTATAAATGAAACAAATAAGACAAGACGTAGATAATAAAATTTCAAAAATTAATTAGTACTTAATTTTTGATATATTTATTTTATTATTATTTTTAATTTTTATTATTTTTAATTTACTGTATAGGAAAGACCTGAATTTCATTGTGAATTTTATAAAAACCTGGGAAACGTCTTATTAATATCATTGAAACAATAATGATTTACATATAAATAAATAAATATTGCTATATTTTTAAAGGTAATATGCTCAATTGTTTGCTACCGCTAGATTTGGATCATTTTTTGTATGTGGGCATGTATCCTTCATCTTCTAAAGGTTCAAGAATCTTCTAAAGATCAAATACGTTCGTTTAAACATTTAATTTAGATATGAAAATTTTGATAAGGCCATTCGATAATATTGTTTAATCTATGATTTATCAAATGATATAATATTGGAAAAAAGACAATAGGTTGTAGGCATAAAATAAAATGTACGCTATAAACAGAACCTGAGAGAAGTAACATTGAGTCTGGATTAATGTTAAATGAACTTTTTCCTATCATGCTTTTACATTTAAAAAAATTAAATATTTGGAGCTTTAGGAACACCAGTGCATTTGTGAAGTCCTGTGTTGAGAGCTAGGGCCAAATGACGCTACTGTCCATCTTCTCCGTGAGTCTGACCACAATTTAACACTACTGAAAACATATTCCATGCTCACAACTCGTTAGTTTATTTTGAGATTAACCCGAAATCGTAAATGAAAATTGAAGTTACTAACCATAACATTAATCATTACAGTGTTTGAACAGAGCGTAGAGATTCCCAGAGGACATAAGAAACAAATTTCCCTGGAATCCGCGGAATTAGGCGCTCCTATACAATGTTTTTTGTTTACTTCTTTATTACTAGTGTTCCAATATGTATTTTGTCGCAGACCCCCGTTACCCTCTGGGCGACCATACATATAATGAAAAATTTAAAAGCCAAAAATTTTGATGAGTAATCGATTCATTAATAAACAAACACTGAATAGACTCTCAAAAATTTATCTGGCGAAGTCAAAATTTATAAATTCTTAAATTATTAAATACCAGCGTTTGTGTAAAAAATTCAAACTGAGTTACTAATAATATTGCTAATGCAATGATGTAAAACGCCGAAGAATAAGTGAAATGATAAAAAAAAAAAACTTTAAGAAAAATTTTTAAAAATCCTAAAATAATATCTTAATGGTATATTGGCTAAAGGAAAAAGGGGAGCTCATAACATTGCAGTGTACTTCCTTTCTCCCGAATGCACTTATTTACTTTATTTAACAATTTTGCGAATTTTAACAAATAGAATATTTGTATAGCCTACTATGAAATTGAGAAATACCCTAGAAAGGCCATTTTAAAAGGAACTTCAACAGTTAATCCGCTATTTTTATTGAGGACAACACCATGAAACAGCAACATCAACAGCGATGCACAAATATGGTGCTTTCTAAACAATTATTTTAATTTTTAATAAATATATCATGAAACATTAAACTTCTACGATTTTCCAAAAAAATTTCTCACGTTAAATAGGGATGTAAACGCGCACTTGCATCTTTCAAGCACACGTACTGTACATTCACTATACACTTCCCTATAGGCCGTTAAATATGATAAGTCTGATATTTAATAATACTTAATGATATATCTATGTATCATTTATCAACATTATGATTTTACGTAATTATTTAAACTGAAATGTTGCGCTCATACGACATTGGAATTAATTATAGTTACGTTATTTATGAATTAAATTTAGATTATAGAATAATTTAATTAGATTTAATTTCTCGTAATTCCAGTTTCTAAACTTACATTATTAATAACTTTATAATAAACTAACCATTACAAGTCTGTTTTATAAATACGAACATAAATTTCAATAAAATTTGCCGGAATAAATATTTGATGATATTTTTCAAAGCCTAATTTAGAAGAAATTCGGCAGGTTATTTCGTACAACATATAAAGCACTGAAATTACACACTGCTTGTAGTTCGGAATTATCTTGATTGATGAGTCGTAAAAGGAGACAATTTTATACAAGTATTGAATTTACTGCAGATATTTATCGTTGAGAATGCGAAAACTGCTTTTTCCGACTGATACGTATGTCTGGGTAGATTAATTTTTTAAGGGATGGTCTAGACACGACAGACCCCACCTCTCATCACCCGGCCTTGTGGGCTTACCCAAACCCACCCACAATGAGTTTAAAAAGTACCCTATTAATGTCCTCAATCAAAAAGAAATCTATGACTGATACGATAGTTCATACTAAGCACCAATCAAAAAGACACTTTTCTCTCCATTCTTCCCACCATTCACGTCCATATACTTCTGTATTTCTCTTAAATCCCAAAATATTTTATAATTTTTCTTTTTGGGTGTAATGACTGTGCCGACATTGGGAAGATGACCCCAACTCACAGTAGCTGAGTTGCCCCTGTATACTGTATACTCCTTTGTATATTTGATGTTGGCAAATAAAGAGTGTGTGGTAAAGCACACTTCTCATTTGTAAAACAAGCTGTAAAGCAAATCCCCGCTTTACGACCGCTTGCACTACAATCTCAATTTTTATGATCGGAATAAATTTTCTGCTTTAATTACATGAAATTCCATATCTTTCAAGAGGCATCCCTATGTACTGTACAATTTAGTGTTCCCAGAAATCTATCGAGCTTATAAAAATCCAACAACGAGTTGCATAATTTTTCCGGCGAAAATGCTTCTGTTTAAGAAATACTAAGACACATTAGCAGGAAGTTAAAATTGTGTGTGGCGCCATTTGTTGTAAGATGTTATTTAAAAATAACTTTTAATTATTAAATATTATTAATTATTATAAAAAGGCTTAATGTTGAGGGTAAATATGAGTTTTTGAAAATATTGTAAATGCCTATAAAGAGTTTAAAATTTTTATTAAATGTGACTCCACTCGAGATATGACATATGGCCACGTCTATCTTTCCACTTCCTCGACCTTTAACTACCAAAATTTAATGGCATCAATGCTCCTTACCATGCTATCATGCCAAATTTTGTTTATTAATCTTTAATCCATCCCGAGATATTAAACGAAATAGATGACAATACATACAGACACACACCTCATCCCTCCCCCACACACACATACATATCCCAGGTTTCAGATTTCGGCTTTTTTTAGGATCAGTGGTCTCAAAACATTGAGATTCCAAAATCCTGGAGTGTCAAATGTGACACTATTACAATATTATGTTATAACAGCCGGAAAGTAAAAGAAAAATGGTTCAAATAACAACGGCTCGTTTAGGTCGTAAAACGGGGATTTACTTTCTAACCAATTTATAAACCTATTTAACATGTAGATTAGCCGAATTACCTTGATTATTTGATTTCATATAGAGAAAATTAAAAATGCAATCTAACCTCCAATAGCGATCACCTCTAAATAGCAGTCGTGTTTTCAGGAATGTTTCGTTTTGAAATGCTAACAAATTAACCTCTAAAGAACGACAACCTTCCATTTTATCCTATTTTATTATAAGCCACAGTTTGTCCTAAATAATTTCTTAAAATATTCATCTCGACAATTATNAGTCGGATTAGTCTAGAATCGATTAATTTTATGGAAGAAAATCTTTCAAACAGCCATAGTCCGTAAACTTGACACGTGTCGGGTTGTGATTGGAAGGATTCGTAAGAAAGCGGATTCCTAGAGAATGGAACGTATCTCTATCTTATAGGGGGGTCGACTGTATTATTATATCGAATATATATCGTATTTTTGTGTAAAGTTACGTTAACTAAAATCTATACATCTCATTAGAATGTAAGTTATTACATTTTGTTAATTTTCATAAATTAAATAAAAATATCAAAATTATTTTGTATTATGCAAGCATTTTACAGTTCATAAATGGAATTTACCTGTCGCTATTATAGATGGTGTAGATACTGTATAGACACGATGATCCGGTCCTGTATATTGACCGTATGCTTCCGGTTGATAAAAAATTTGATTCTTCCACATATTCAGATCTAATATCATTACTATGACGATGATTCCATAATTAAACCATTTTCCTGAAAGTAAAACAAATTGAGTACTTCTTTCTAAATGCTACGTTACTGACATATTATTGATAATATGATAAAGAAAAAATCAAAGAAATGAGGACTAATTAGGTTTATTTCGTTAAAAATATTTAATGTACGATAACCACGCCAACATTTTATTATATAATATTAGTATGATTACAATCTAGTAAAGTACACGATTATGCTACCAATATACAATATAATACAGTCATATTCAAAAAATAAAGTCTATCAGTGGCCGAGTAGATAACAACCACTGAAAGCTGGTATTTACAATACATAAGTTATATATGTTTATGGTGGTCAAATCTCATTGGTGAGGTTGCAGCTTGCACCTCACCAACGATGCTATTTGGAGTTTTCCGAGTTTTTTCTACGTGTCTAACAGCTAAGTACGGTCCAGTTTTCCGTAGAAAATCCTCCAGAGAGGCATCCCCTTAACAAGAGCGTCCTCGAATAGTGTTGCCTTATTCATCAATCCAATCCAAAATAAAGATAATTGTCCAATCTTTAGATAGAGAAAAAGTAAACAAAATAAAACGCAAAAAAATTTTATTTTGAAAACATTGACATAAATTATTTATGCCAACGTTTCCAGACAATAAAATACCAGGAAAAAGCATAAATTTATGCAAAATATGCAAGCTTCATAAATACAGCAAATACCATGGCATTATTTTTTCCTGTTGCATCGAGTTTAAACGTCGAGGACAGTTTCTTACTGTTTTACTGTATTATACTGACAATGATAATACCACAAAGACATCAGAAGGACAATTTTATAAAAGGAAGAATTACCGGAAAGCTAGAAATATGCCAATCGCAAGAACCATATCCAGACTAATGTGTCTTGTACTCTGTACCGCAGAACATCTTATACAGTCTTTGGATACTGTGTTCTACGATTTCAAAGAACAGGAAATTCCACTATCCCTCAACAGGACCGCTATTTGGCATTAACAGCGCGTCATTACAAAAGAATGTCTGGTAGTCAGCTATGCAAAGAGCTGCCTATGGCCATCGATGTTTACCTTAACGACAAATTGTCGACAGGAAGATTCAAGCAAATATTATTTTTGCAAGATGACCAGTAGGTCACGTTACATTGATACCTGTGCACAAAAGAGCCCATTGAAGACAGTGTCAAAATATTTCCCCATTCATTCACAGTCCAATGTCAATATTCTAGTTCACTGACGAGTCCAAGTGCTATCTACAAAACAATTCTGAATAGAATATGGCAAGAGCGAGGAATCAGATACACTTCCATTTCGGAAAAAAACCAATTTGCAGATAACTGTATCATAGTAAGAGGGCATTACGCTTAATTAATTAATGGCCGAACCGAACTCCATGTTTTTGAAAGAGGTGTCATTAGTGCATAAAGGTAAGAGATAAAGTTATGAATGCCATGGATGCTGAGGATACAGATGGACGATAATGCCTACACAATAGGGCTTCACTCGTCAATGACTTTCTTGACAACGATGATATTCCTTTCGTGGAATGGTCAGCAAGATCCCTGACCTAAATTCCATAAAATAAATGTAGAATGCTGTAGAGAAACGAATTGTATTTTGCAAGCTTTCACCGAAAACTCCCAGAGCTTCAAGACATTCTCAACTGAGCTCATAAACAATTTTATAACCAGCATGAGCTATCGTTGTACAGTGTGTGTGCATGCAGGAGTCAGCTACACGCAATATTAATAGACGCAATACACGCATTTTCTGTCCAAAATGACTTACGACAATGCTTAGTATTTCCTGTTGTTTTTAATTTGACATAATTTAGATAGAAAAATTTTGTTTTTCAACTGTTTTCTAGTTAAAGAGTACAATTTTCCGCTTATATGTTAAGTTTCACGTTATTCTGATCCTGAGATACAGGCCAAAGTAATTATTACGCTTATTTTTTTAGCCATGAGTGTAAATTGATGTCATAATTAAATGAAATTCATCACATTATTATTGGGAAAAACAAGAATAATGGAGTCAGAAATGAAAGAAAGGAACTGAAAATGAAAGTGTAGAAAACAAAATAATCATACTTAGAGAATGAAGAGGTTGGTCACATAAAAAAGCATCTTTCTAGAGGAATGTTTCATGTAAAAGTAAAAACAGAAGACTGAGGGAAAGCAGGAAAAATAAATAAAACAGATAAAAGAAAAAAATCAGAGAAGACTGAAGCAAGATGAAAGAATGTCAGGTTTGAAACGAGAGGAAGTAGTGCAGAGGGTTGACTCATCGACTTGACAAAAAGCTGGGACGCTGAGAAGACAAATAATAATAAACGTCATAATTAGAAATATGTCAATGTTCATATCCATTTTATTTTTTAATCTATTTTTTAATCGTTTAATTTTTTAATTAAATATAATAGGAAATAGCAAGTATAATCATATTAATCATTAATATTTAGATACAAATTGCATACTTGGCTTCATTCGGATACAAATTACCCTTCAGATGTGGCGCGAAATAATTTATAATGCTGCAGAGATTGGTTTTCAATTTCACGTTATTCGATTTGAAGGAAATCTTTATTTGAAGCATTCAAAAATTATATAGTATAAAATTATCGCATCTTCTTTTATCTATTATAGAAAAATATATAAATTCGATATGATATAACGCGGACTCATTTATTCACATCAAATCACATTAAACAGAATTATGCAAATCAAAATTTTGGACACTATTAAATGCATTCTATTGAGTATGTAGTATAAGTTACTAAAACATTACTGGTCATAAGTGTTTTTGTATTAAATAATTAAAAATTATTCAGGATGCTCCAGAAGTCAATTACCGTTTTAATATAAAAGAATTTCATTATAATTTCTACTAAAAAAGTTCAAAATAAACTGTTCTAAACGACATCCTTCATGTTAAATAAATAATTTCCATCATTCTGATACATTTCTACGAATCTAAGTCAGTACGTATATCGGTTGTCTTGGTCTGAGTTAACTGACTCATGGGCCATTTTGCATACTGTAGGAATACATTAAACATGAAATATTCAATATACAAACGAATATTTAAGTTTTAAACCATAATTATTTATTAATCACTTTTAATAAATTACTTCGTTTTTCCATAAAATTTCTGTCTCAGTGGTCGAGTAAAAAAACCAGCGATGTAAACTAAAGGGCTGACCCTGGGCGTCAAAATGACCCCGTAGAATTTCTTCTTCCTTTTGGAATTAACATTGAATTACAGGTTAGCCTCGAGTGCCAAAACTGTTTGGCACGGACCTGGATAAAACCACTGAACACTAGTCATTCGCACCTTGCCAACGGACAGGTCTCGTGGAATTTTCGGTGTTTTTTCATGTATGTAAAAGTAGGGGCCAGATTCCCGTAGAAAATCCTCCCAGGTACCATTAGCAAGTCTTCTAAGTGCTATGTTGCCATATCCTATTAATTAATTAATTAATCTAACGCGATGTTATATATATTTGATAAACTTACCTGAAATATGGAAGACGACGTCCGGAATGCTGACGTATTTTTGAAAAAGTTTAAATTTGAATGATGCCACATGCATGCCTGGTAATTTGATATCCAAATCGCAAACAAAATGTGGAAAATCCCAATCCTAACAAAGATAATAAAAGATGAAATTAATTCATGACTTAAGCCATATTAAATCTAAAAAATGCAATAATTCTTCGTTCATACCTGCATAACAATTAATAAATCCATGACTAGTATAAAAGATGCAAGAAAAGCTCGTGATAATTCTGTTGTAGCAACGAAATCCCTATTTAAATAGTCCCAATTTATGTAATCGCTAACGATTAATGCCACCACTAAAGCGGTTATAACAATGGCACCCGACCAGAAAATGAATATTCTCAATCTTCCATGTTTACTCCAGAATAACCTGAATGGTCTTCCCCACTCTGAGTATAAATTGTCTTGCAACATCATGTCAGTTACCTAAAACATGCATAAACCATAAATTTTTATTATCTAATATATGAATCATTTAAACAAAGAATTCTTACCATCCAGGCAGTAACAAAATCTCCTAACCAGGTGCCACACGCAGCCGCTTTCATAAAATTAGCATTAGTTATACCCATTTGCCCATTAATGACATATCTGCTGGGTTCGGGATGGGCGTATATTAAAAAGAAATTATAAATCCAAGAGAATAAGAAAAGAAATAGGATAACTGTCAAGTACATGATCATCCAAGTGCCTTGTTCGTCTCGAAACATTTTCAAGCGGAACCATCGCCCTGAAATAGATTGATATCTGCAGAAATTTGATATTTAAGCCCATAGTAAAAGTTTTCAATATTTCCCTCCATAGATATTTTTTCAATATTTTAATCGAAAAATACTGTCCATCTCGTAATAAATAATTTATGTTTTAATTACAGTAATTAAAGTAAAAGTGAAACCTCGTTATTTCTGTTCCAATAAACATAACTAATTTACTTTGTAGATCTTCAAAAACGTTTGTTTTCGCTTCTTCAAAAGCATTGCTCTGTATGTTTATTATGCAATAAAACAAAAAAAATCCATACTGTACAATAAATTTACATTGTCTCCACTCACTTAATTGCTTACTGATATGATATGTCTGAGATACAAAGAAACGAAATAGAACAATCGTAAGGGGACATCAAATACGCTATCAGAAAACCATAAATGTCAAAAATAGACAGTTTAAGTGCAAAAAAAAAAACGCCAATCCACGACACCTATAGAACAAAATGGTGCCTGAATGGCTTTTAAACCCCATCCGATTATCTCCGAAGATAATAATTATTATTAATTTGTTCCACTTTACTTTAAATTATATTTTCTTCCTTTTTTTTCTATTTTATGTAAATCTAATATTATTATAATATTAAAGCATTGTTTTAAATTATAAAAATGAGGATAGCATCGCAATGAGATAAGAAACTCCGGAATGCTCCGAGTCTACCACTCTGGAGAATCCAAAATCGAGTCTCAGCCCAGCTGGGAGTACATCCCTTTTCCCTCGTGGAATAGTTTCAGCAGATGTTCACTAGTAGAGGATAAGTCAGTGGAAATCATAAACCACTAAAACAGGGAAAGTGTCCGAGTTCGGAGGCTACATTGTAACTCAGAATATTAAAAAAAAAAAAAACTAGGCTACGCAGCTTCCCCGCTGTACTGATCCTTAGTAACCACTGGCTTACTCCATCCCCTTTCACTACGGATATTATTAGTGGGTTTGATGGAATGGACCGAGCATTACGCTTTTGGCCCGTTTCAAATAAAACTGCAATTTCAGATAGAAGTTCTAACTAGGCCTGGAAGCGTGGAAGCATAAACTATAATCATTCTAACTCGATATTAAAGTGTGAGAAAATTGAGATAGAACTCGTTAAACTCCGGAAGAACAGGTTAACACCATTAGAAATTATTGGAAGTTCTACAGGATAGAACTGTTAAAACAATAATTACTGCAACTTATAACCGTATAAAAAGAAGATAGAAAACTGCTTCCAGCGAAAGTAATCAGAAACGGTTTAAAAAAAATACAACTTGTGTTGATCTTTAATTAACAAAAATATATAAATATCTTCATAAAACGAACAAAATTGGAAAAAATCCATACTTTTTCTGAAAAATGTAATTATTTTCATTTAAATTTTTACTANGCTAAAACACATAAAAATAATATTAAAGTAGCCAAGATATAGCCAAATATTGTAGCGCCACATCACTAGCGGACATTTGAAATTTGCCGACTAGGACGGTCGGTTAACCGAGATGTCGGTTAATCGGGGGTCGGATAATCGAGGTTCTACTGTATTCAAGGTAAAACAAAAGAATACTCCACAGACATATCAAAATGATTATATATTATCACCATAAATATAAAATCAATATACTTTGAAATATTGTAAGCGATATAGAGAGTGATTCAAAAATCAGTTAACCGCATTTCGTTTTGTGCGCTCCAGGAGCCGTATTCTGGTTACTGTCTCTGGTCTCTGGTTTCTTGTCTCTCACAAGCCTGTCTCTGATTGACTAATCCAAATGATTAGCCAATCAGCGACCAGCTTGTGAGAGACGAGAGACCAGAGACAGTGACCAGAATACGATCCCAGAGACAGTGACCAGGTACTCTTGAAATTGGTCTAATGGCCGAGGTTAAGGTGGCAGCCTGCCGCTCACGGGACTCGAGATCGAATCCAGACGAATCGAAAAACATCAGGAATTTTTTCAGGAGTAGTCGGTCCGGATAAGTCGGGCCCATTCCTCACCATCCGGCCGCCCCAATGGGGAACTTCCAACCCATATTGGGCTTGCTAGAAAGGCCCTCTTGGTGCCCACAGGGCAAAAGAGTTTCAAAAGAGAAGCATTTGCGAATATGAATCTTTAACTGAATTTGTTAAGGCATTGTAAATTGTATATTTACAGTGGTTTATTCTTTACTGCGGTTAACTAACTTTTGGCCACTCTTTATTATATGTGAGAAAGTCATAAATCATAGCAATTTGCAAAAAAATAATAAAATCATTTAAGTTAATATAAATACCTTCATTTGATTAAATAAGTTATTTAATATAGTTATTAACGAGGTTTCATTGAAAATAAAATTAAAAAATACTCACGAAGCACCACGTGATGAATGAAGTACTTTCCACATAGAAGTCCGATGAGAATGGCCATCAACCATAACGCTACTTTCAAAACGCACCATCCCCATTCGTCGGGATATTTTGTAGCCACGAAAGAGAATACATTCCCCACTATGGGTATTTCACTCTCTGTATGGCTATGGGATACGGGATCCTCGGCAAATATTAAGAAATTGCAGAATATAACAAAATACGATACAAACAATCGAGCGTATGGATGCTGGAAATAATATCTGAAAAATGGAGATATATGAAATTTCATAAACATTACACATTCGAAAATATGTCTTTAGCCCATGATTCAGTCTAGTGAAGTCACACGAAAGATTTTTAATATTCAAAAAATTTGGAATTTCCTAATTCTGCAAGATTCATCAAGAAAGTTTTATCTATAATTTTAATACAACTTCGAGCAGATAGAAAATTTCAGAAAATGTGTATAATAATTACAAAATTTTATAAGAAAATGCTTGATTTCTTTAAATATTTTTATGATTGCTTTTAAACACCATCCGATTATCTCCGAAGATAATTATTATTATTAATTTGTTCCACTTTAAATTATAATATTTTATTTTTTTACTATTTTATGTAAATCTAATATTATTATAATATTAAAGCATTGTTTTAAATTATAAAAATGAGGATAGCATCGCAATGAGATAAGAAACTCCGGAATGCTCCGAGTCTACCACTCTGGAGAATCCAAAATCGAGTCTCAGCCCAGCTGGGAGTACATCCCTTTTCCCTCGTGGAATAGTTTCAGCAGATGTTCACTAGTAGAGGATAAGTCAGTGGAAATCATAAACCACTAAAACAGGGAAAGTGTCCGAGTTCGGAGGCTACATTGTAACTCAGAATATTAAAAAAAAAAAAAACTAGGCTACGCAGCTTCCCCGCTGTACTGATCCTTAGTAACCACTGGCTTACTCCATCCCCTTTCACTACGGATATTATTAGTGGGTTTGATGGAATGGACCGAGCATTACGCTTTTGGCCCGTTTCAAATAAAACTGCAATTTCAGATAGAAGTTCTAACTAGGCCTGGAAGCGTGGAAGCATAAACTATAATCATTCTAACTCGATATTAAAGTGTGAGAAAATTGAGATAGAACTCGTTAAACTCCGGAAGAACAGGTTAACACCATTAGAAATTATTGGAAGTTCTACAGGATAGAACTGTTAAAACAATAATTACTGCAACTTATAACCGTATAAAAAGAAGATAGAAAACTGCTTCCAGCGAAAGTAATCAGAAACGGTTTAAAAAAAAATACAACTTGTGTTGATCTTTAATTAACAAAAATATATAAATATCTTCATAAAACGAACAAAATTGGAAAAAATCCATACTTTTTCTGAAAAATGTAATTATTTTCATTTAAATTTTTACTATTGAATATGTTAATTGAATATTTAAGAAATTCAATTAAACAAATAAATAAAAATAAGTTTAATTTTACAATTATTCATTTAAAAAATACACAATTTTTAATTCTTCATTAATTTAAAAAATTTTAATTAAATAAGATTACATCGAACAAATTAAAAAAACCCCTTAATTTGTGAATAATTTTACGAAGGAAATCGTTCATTTTATATTTCAACATATTATTAAATCGGCTGAAAATGTGAACTATTTTCTTTATTTTTATTTTTCTTCAAATATTTAAAATAATAATTGAGCCTAAAAAAATACTTGAAATTAGTATAGTAACAGAAAGGCCCTCTCCCAACAAGAGCCTTTGTGTCGGACGTTAGTGACGTTTAGTTTGTAAATATCATTAATTCCTGTAAATTGACTTTGCTTTAATTATTAAATATTTTACTTATTACTACGAATGAATTACATATTATATTTTTAACAGAAGTAACGAGATGAGCACGGTTAGATTTAGTCTAGTAAATTACAGCTGTGAATCAAGATTTCTTTCAGGGAGTGTCTAAAAAGGTAGTACCTCCCGGAAATTGGAAAATACACTCTCTTATAACGTTAAATAAACAATATTGTAAAATTATTATTGTTTTTATGTATACGTATATATGTGTATACAGCCTACGTATAAGAGGTTCATCCACTAAATAATAAAATTTAAAAGTATGAGCCCTAAACTGAAGCCACATAGCTGGATAATCTACGAGATCTGTTTAACTTTGTAAAAAAAAAGCAACACAAGGACAATCTGAAAAGGCTATATAGTGCCTCCCGAGAGAAGTTCATGCAGAAAACTGGCTCCCATTTAGGTATTAGGCACCTGAAGAAATAGGAAAACTCCACGAGCGTTGAGTGGTTTTACTCACTCAGCCAAAGGAGAAAGGGTCTGTTATTTAGAATCTTGAGAGAACGGCTGCATGGCCGAGTAGTTAAGATGGCAGCATACCCTAGAAATTTTTTGGAGGTCCTCGAACCTCACCACCCACTATCCTAGTATGAGCTTAGCCGAATAAGCTTGAATAAAGGCTCTTTTAGTGTCTAAAATATTGTAAGCGATATAGAGAGTGAAAGAGTCAACGAAAAAGGAATGGATTAACGAAAATAATAATTTTAAAAAATAATAAAAAAATAATATTAAGCTTTCAAATAAAGGTTTATAAGTTACCAGAACTTCTTGATTCTTGATTTATCGATTCAAGTTTTAAAATGGGATGGTTCTATATTTTAAACTTCCCTTTTTAATATCTTCTATTGTGAATTTTCTACTCTATCATTCCACATTGTATTGCATGTCGGCTTATGAAGGATTACTCTTACAGACTTCAACAATTGTGCGGATATTCTTCTTCTTCGTTCAGTTTAAATAAAAAATGACAGAAATTCTGTAGTTACAATCAACGTCTGGCAATTACTGTTAATTCACAACACCATTTCAAGAGAAAAATTACAAATTAAACAGTAATAATTGCTGTTTTCTAAAGTCAAATCTTAATATTAAAAATACATTTTTTGCGTGTTTCTGTTTTTACTGTTTAATAAATTAATTTAAATTATAATTACTTATAATTATCGTCTAATTTCTTCTTGAAAATTCTTTTTCTTTCAAGTAAGATGCATTTTAAATTCCAAACAATGCGGCTTATCAAATTTACAAGTTAAAAATGAAGAAATAAATTCAATTATGAAATACATAATAATTTAAGTTAATTAAAAATAGTTTTTTTGCAATTTTGTTACAGTAACAACATTAACTGCTAATTTAATATGTAAAAAAACATATTTATATACTTTTTACATATTAAAAAATTAGCAATTAATTTTTTGAAGATATATATATATATATAGTTTAACTGAATAAAATAAATGTCAAAAATCACGAATTTTTAAAATTGATTTACGAATATATTGATAGAAAATCTTATAAAATAGTAATAAAAAAATTATTTAGATAATTGAAAAAAATCTACAAGTAACTTAGTCTATATATGTACAGTATATAATAGAATGTATACTGTCTGTCTGTATATCTGTTCTCTATATACTTCTGAACCCTTTGACCAATCTGCACCAAATTCTTCATAGTTACTGTCTAGGTCCCTGCGGAAAATGCAGGCTATCATAAAATCTCTATATCCCTTATTTCGTCCTTATACATCCTAAAACCTTTGACCGATCCGGATCGTAAGTTTTTCTAGGATCCTGAGGAAACTATGCTATTATAAAACTACGCCACTCCATTCCCCTGAAATTTCCTGATGAAGATAACAATAGTAGACTAAAATAACCAAACTTTTAAAGCGGTTTTCAGTTTTAATGTTTCTCCTTATTATAAATACAGTACTTGTCACCCGGGAAAATCTGCTAGTTAATAATATAAAACTAAATTATGATATAAAAAAATGCATCTTCAGACTTAAAAATGACTTAAATTATCGTTAAATATTGTTTACGTGTTAATTATTCCCATAAATAAAACAATATATTGTTATGTTAATGATGAGTGAAGCAGAAAACAGCGCGATTCTGTTCAAACAATAATTGTTTGAACAGAATCGCGACAAGTTTCACAAAGAGAGAGGATCACAAATAAATTGTGAAGAGTCATTTAAGAATCTGAAGTTTCTGTAGTTAATTCCATGCATTTTAATTCCTTAATTTTAGTAAATTAAGGAATTAAATTATAAACAAAATGTACTTTTCGTTATGGATTCATAGCGTGTACCGTAAGTGAACCAGTCAGTATAAACCTGTATCGGATTGTACTGAATAATGATAAATTTTAACTACCTTTTGAGTTTAATCATTTTAATTATAATTAAACTAGTTCATAATTACAATAACGCTAATTCACACTAGTTTGTAACTACTATAAATTAATATTAGATCATAAGGGAAATTCAACATATAATGATATCTCCATGAACATAAAATAGTAGAATGTAAGTATTAAATATATANAAATAATAATAAATTTAAAAGCATGAGATCTTGCATGAGACTGTATCGTCCTTTAACTGTAGATTATAATGTTATGACACGACTTTTACATTATGCAATTTTAAACAAATAAAGGACATTCATAAGTCACTGCTTGCCCAGAACCTCCTGTAATCTTTTATATTAGAATTTATATAAAATTCACGTTTTTAATTAACAAAATTCTTGAAAAAAAAAGGAATTTTAAACGATCTTCGAAACTTTTAAACTAGAGTAAAAAATAAACTTTAAGAAATTTTTCGACTTTTATTTATGCCTCTATGATATAAATTTAATTGTTAAATTAATTAAAATATAATTTAAAAAATTAAGTAAACAGAATCAACAAAATTTAGAAAAAGAAATTAATTACTTTGAGTAAACTTCATTTAATTTTCGACAAATTATTGAGATTTATGCAGTAATTTCTGCAGAATATTCCAGCACTAAATTTTCTCAAAAAGATTTTTTACTTTTACAATCAACATCTAATTAAACACCAAATACAACAGATACCGGACACCTCTCTTTTACGATCTAATTGGTTTATTCAAACTGTCGTAAAGCGAGCTACAATTTTGACATAAGTTCAGCGTCATAGATTGAGATTATGTTCTTGAAAATAAACAATTTTAATTGGGAAATAGCACGCGGATGGTCAACGAGACATGTTGAATTTTATATAATCTTAATAGAAAATTAACACGCATCGTAAAAGCAGGTTTCTAGAGCGAAAGGTCGTACAGCGAGGTTTGTAAAGAAATATGTCGTAAAGCGGAGTGTATTGATCTAAATATAAATTTAAGCATTAAAATGATTCTG